CATCGGAACTGCCCAGAGGGGCCGTGTGATGGCCAGATTGTCTGGAAAATATGACGTGCAGCTACAAGTCGTTCTTCTAGTCTCGTCAAAATCTGCAGTCTGTGGTCCACGACAGGAAAGTGCAACCCGTTTGAAAGGCAGTAACGAGGTTGCTTCCAGCATTTAATGCTCTGTACGCACGTTTTGCAGAAGATGCATTCGTCGACTTGTTGTAGATAAAATACATTTCCTACAAGATTTCTTCGGGCTTCATTTGCGCCACTAGCTTGCAGCAGATGTGACATTTTGAGTGTAGAAACAGAGCGTCGGAATTCTAATCTGCCGCAGCAGTTGCACGTGTACGTTGGTCCTTCCTTGATTGCATTTTCATACGCTTCAATACCCGATGTATAAGTGATGCTTCTTTTTTGCTGCTTTGCTTCCCGGTCCCTGATGCGTTCCTGGTCACGTATCACCCCGCTACTTCGTCGACGCTGCATTCTTAAGGCATTCTCTTGACGCTCCCTCTCCGTTTCATCAGTAGATCTGCGAATCCGCATTGCTTGACTGTTAGCTTCTCTTTCTCGTTGTCTATATTCCAAATTCTCTTCCCTACGCACTCTCATCGATTCCAAATTCATCTCCCTTTCGTTTTTTCTGTACTCCAGGTCCGCCTCTCTGCGTTGCCGCATTGCTTCAGCATTTGCAACCCTCTCTCTTTCCCGGAATTCAACGTCTGCCGCTCGTCGTTGTTGCTTTGTCTCAGCATCTACAAGCCTTTCCGACTCGCGATAGTCGGTCTGTCGACGTTGTCGCATTGCTTCAGCATTTGCAACCCTTTCCATTTCATGGTATTGAATGTCCGTCTGCCGACGGTGTTGCATTGCTTCAGCATTTGCAGTCCTTTCCATTTGTTGGTATTCGATGTCCGTCTGTCGACGGTGTCGCATTGCTTCAGCATTTGCAATCCTTCCTCTTTCCCTGTATTCGAAGTCTGTCTCTCGTCGTTGTTGCTTAGCTTCGGCATCTGCAGTCCTTTCCCTTACTTTGTAGCCTTCATCGGAAGCTCTGCGTTTTTTCATTGCTTCCCTGTTCGCAGTATTTTCTCTCTGTTTGTAATCATGATCCTGTCGAAGCAACCGCATCCGATTCACTGCTTTTTCGCGTTTTTCTACTGCACGACTGTCTGGGCTATTTGGAACCGCATTCGCATCAAATTCGGCATTGCTGTTGCTCACTTCCTGCGTACTGTTTGAGCGGCTGATGTCTGAAAGAAGATTTAAAAGTAGAATTTTCCAGGAAAATCTGTCCGAAAGAATTTTGAAATAGAATTCTAATGCAAAATTACATGATTTGTTTCGTGTAATTGCCAACAAATGCATTATGTCATAGCAAAAGTCAAAATTCGGTGTAGCTATACGTTTTGGCATATACGCGAATCCAAAAACGCATATATGTGGCGACTCATTGCATGCATGTTTGTTCGTGCGTGTGTGTCAGCCCGAGTATTTCAACTCGATAACCAGGCAAGCTCTGGTGCTAAAACTTTGCCAGTGGTTTTCCGGCTAACTGTCACCTCAGGACCGCGGTGCCAGCCCTCACACACGTCTAGTCCCACGTACGAAAACGTGAAAATTTTGGCCGAAATGCAGTGGAAGGCCAAAATTTTAAGGGAATGTTCCCTAATCAATTACCTCGTAATTGCACAATTACCATTTTAGACTTCGAGAACCAGTACGCCAAAAAATCTAGCTATTTGGGATTCCGAGCGATCCTACTGAAGCACAAAATGCAAAAACGCATATTTGCACGGGCCTAATTGGTATGCGTCGCCAATGATTTTGAGTAGTTGTATGGGACTAAGAAAAATGAAGTGCAGTTCAATCAGTAATGAGTTCTATGAGTAATGACAACGCATACTGATGTGTTTGCAAGCACTGCTGTTCATTATAGCACATTAAGAAAGCAGAAATATTGTGATGCTAAAATACCTGAAGCTGTTTGCTGCAGACCGCGACTTGTACTGGGCTCATCAGAAGCATTCCCCACAAAAGCTGTAGAAACGGGATGGGATCGCAAAAGTCGATGAGCAACAGCATCACGTACTCTTTCAGTCTGACGATAGGATTCAGATGACCGATATCGGCGTTTCCGTTCAGCAGCAAGCTGTCTTTGTCTTTCCAGGCTGCTTTGTCTTTCCGATGCGCTTAACTTTCTTCGAGGCATCGTAGCTGCAATGCGCGCATTGTATTTTGTCGTATGTTAAGTTTGCTTATTTAAAAGAGTAATTAGGAAATGTTGGGGAAAACTCATTGTCTTTGAACACTGAGACAGGTCCCTTCTAAAAGACACATAATCTTGGAAATATGAGCATTCCCCACTGCCCACCATGTTTTATCCGGATATTATTCATAATCGAGGTACTTTATATAATTCCTTTTTCTAGATTGGGAGTGGCTTACACGAAAAGTTATTTCTAATGGAAGATAAAGAGAAAATGATGAACCATGCGTAAATTAACTATCTGCTTTGCACGTAAAATACATAGGCCGAATACATATTAGGTTTCCTTATTTAAAGTACTAATTAGGGAATAGAAAAAACTTGATGCAGGAAAAAAATGAGAAAGAAGAACACAGCTATTGAGCAATCTGTTTGATTGTTGAAAGCAATAAAGCTTACCTAGTAGTGATGCGTCCGGAAAAGCGAAGTTTTATATATTAAATAATAAGTTGGACTGTCGTCACAAAAAGAATTTGTTGTTGTCCAAATAGGATTGGCTGTCGCCGAAGTGTGGTTTTGCTGTTGTGGGAGCGCTAGATAAAGGCGCTTTCGCCACAGTAGATGTTTGAAGTTGTCGAACTTGGTGTTGAGGTGCCGCGGCAAAAGAGCTTCGCTGTTGTGAAAGTAGGAAGAAGTAGCTGTCGCCGAGGAAGACTTTTACTCCTGTCGAAAATGGTAGATAATGGGGCTGTCGCCACAGGAGGGTTTGGTAGTGTCCGTATGGGGCTGCCGCCACGAAAGGACTTCCTTATTGTCAAAGTTTTAGAAAGAAGTAGCTGTCGGCGCGAAAAGGTTTCGTTTTCGCCGAGAATACTAAATGACGGGGCTGACGCCGCAAGAGCAGTTTTCCTGGAAGTTCTGAAGTGAACTCGGCTGCTGCCGTAGAACTTCTAATGAAAATAATTTAGGGCCGCTGCCGCGACTGTGGACACGCTCAGACAAATATGCGGGCCCGGCTGCCGCGAATGAGAAAAAAGTCGTCCAGATATAATTAAAATATTGTGGTGGTAGATTGCGGCCGCTGCGCACGAGTGAGGACGAAGAAGGAGTGCGCGCGCGCGGCGGACTGCGCGTGCGCAGGGTAGGGAGTACTATGACTCATCATCGCTTTTGGCGCGAACTTTTGAACGCAGGCAATGAATCCCACCCTTCCTACCATCTGTAGGCGGGGTCTGCGCTGTGCGCAGACTTCCGCGTTCCCTTCTTGTACAGAAGAGCTTTACAAATCAATGTTGGCGTCAGGATCTTGCATTTTTTTTTCACTGAATTTCGGTAAAAGAAATAATGAAGTGGTTAAATTTTTCTGGTAGGTAAAATAACTAACTGGAATATGTTAATAGCCTGAGATGCCCCGCTGACCGTGCCGTGACGCGCAGGAAGCGTTCAACATGTGTTTACAAAGGCCTACCTAGGCACACTCGCGGTTCATACTTAGGAAACCCCAACTCTTTAGTGACCCTAGATGCGCGGTCACATTAGACTTCACGTACTGGTGAGAAGAAAAGTGAATTTTTCTTACACGCGTCTGTCCAAGTACGGCCGTGGACCATGTTCAGAAAATTATAGCGCTGTAGCTGTTTCGGTTGCGGAGTTGCGTGAAATATGGAAGGAACATGAAGCTGCTTTCAAGTGAGCGCCAGCATCTAAGCGCCGACGTCTTAGTCAGGCGTGAAAGTTGCTTTCAGGCCTAACTCTTCTGGTCCCGAGAAGGTAATTCCCCGTCAGAAATTTTTACGGGCTCACTCGTTAAAATCGCGCACACATACGAGGGCTGAGTCAAGTCACTGGATCGTGCTTGGTCGGGCGACATGCCTTTAAAATTTAGCATTCTAGCTCCCCTGATTCCCGAGCTAGCAACTTAGTCGCTAATTGTTCTCGCGGGCCTGTCACCTGCGATCTAAATATGAAGTTATTACGCCCTGCCTGGACGAGGATCACTATTAAATTTCCAGCTTTCAAGGTATTATTTTCCCATGTTAAAAACTTACCCGCAGAAAAATTTCACGGGAGCATACGTAAGTACCATGCATATCCGGTGTGTGGGTTTGAAGTCATTAACACCTACGTGAACGAACAACATCCCCTAAAACTCCAGTCCTCTAACTTCTCAGATTCCCGAGCTAGCAACTTACCCGGAAAAAGATTCACGGGCCCGTAATGAGTGCCAGGCATAACCGGTGTCCGTGTTTGAGCTAATTAATACCTGCTTGGATGGGAAACATCTCCTTAAACTTACAATCCTCTAGCTTCTCAGGTCCCCGAGTTAGCAACTTACACGGAAAAAATGTTGGCGCGCCCGTACGCGGGTAACACGCCTGCTCGGGGGCTAGGTTTGAGCTCATTAGCACCTACTTGGACGGGGAACATTCCCTTAAAATTTCTGCTTTCTATCGTCTCAGAACCCCGAGTTATGAATTTGCGCGGGAAAAATTTTGGGGG